TTGCTTAACCGGGTCACCCGATTTTTTCGGTTCGGTTCGGTTACCCGATTATTGTCTAACCGGGTCATATCATTACTGTTAATATAGTTACGGCTCGTTATTAAACTTAAAATATTTTTATTGATGACGTCATGCCCGTGGAATTTATTTTCACGACATTATGTCATAATAAAATATATCATCAGAAATGTGGGTTATTATATATTTTATATAATATAATAAAAATGATAAGTGATAATGGTAGGAATTTTGCATATTGTCATTGTCTTTACAATGGTACGTAATGCCAGTTTGAAATTAATCAATCTCAGATTTAATAACATATAATTTCATTTAATTTTGTACATTTTTGGTTCATTTCTTTTATAAAAGGGATATTTGGATTTTGCCGCTGGAATAAATTTGGTTATCTACCTCTAGTTGTAATAACGATGATGTAATTGCAAGCTTTAATAATAACGCTAAGGTGGCTAAAGCTCAAGATATTAAATGAATTAAGGTGTAGTTAAAGTTCTGCACATGTCAGAGCATTTAGCACATGATTGCGCATAATCTCAAACAGAATCAGCATTTATTATCATCTTTTAATACTCATAAGCCCTGGTTTTACCTACCCATCATTGTTTTCAATGTAAAAAAGCAGATTCAAAGATTCTTGGTAGAATTTAAAGAAACAACTACCGGAGTGCACCAACCGCATGTTGATCATTAAAATTATATAAATACATGTAAAATAATTCTGTAATTGTGACGTTCTTTTCACTCAAATCAACTCAAACCACCCGATGCCTCACATAGAAATTATTAAAAACGCCAAATTTCGATTTCAAGCGTGTACGAATTGTGTATCTTTCCTTAAGCATTTAATTAAAGGTTAATCATAGTCACACATAAATTTTGTTTATATTGTTTATCATATCCAAAAATTACATAATGTGTTAACGAAATACTACATATATGCTATTTTTTTTCTTCGCCATTGAACTTTACTAATTCATGTTGATAATTTCACAATGACTGACAACAATCACTTAAAAAATCCACTTGCTCCTGTTACAGCTGCTGTCTCAAAAATAGCTTCTTCGAATGTTGTACAGGGAACACGAAATTTGTTATTTCACCGCATACACAACACGAAGGAAAGTAAAGAAGTCTTTGCTGACTATGTAGCGATAATTCGTACAAAACCTTTCAGCAAATTATCACAACTAGAGAAGGAAATATCCAGAAAAAAGCTTGAAGATACATGTAGAAATTTATTGACGCGACTACACCGAGTTGGTCTTAAATATGAGGTCCGACGTGGTGCCGACGACTTGATATTTGTTTTTATTTTATGTCCCTTAGATAGACTTAAACAGGAATTTGATAGGTCAAGGTAATGACAAATTATCAAAATTATAAATATTATTCAGTATAATAATGATTATCAATCTCTAATTAACTAAAATTTTGATAGAATTCATGATTGGCTTGTAGGTGTTCGTATTCGCGATCTTGATGAAGATAGAGATGTGCCCCTAACAGATTCTGAACGATTGCGCCTTGTATATGAAATAATTACCAACCCTCTTAATGAAGGTGGTGCCGGTATTAATCCTG